TCTCTATACGTATAATAAAATCAGATAAAGTAAACTGATAAACTCGTATACAAATATACGTGATACATCAATTTATGTGTGACGACACCACTACGAATATCATGACGTTGCAAGGTGTCGCGATAAAAGTAATCCTTCTGCAAATGATATCTAACAATAAGTATGACCATTCTCGCGGCAACGAAAATCGCTCTCAGCTTTGACGAGGACTCGACTGCTCCTCGAAATTCCCCGTCGACAGGAAACCTCGTTCCTGCCTTCGGCGAAGACGGGCAGGAAATTTCGATCGCCGTTTGACGACGCGAAAGTAACCAGCGTACAAGACAGGCGGGGAGAGGAGAGGGGGAGGGGGTTCTACTCGCGCGAGCGTTGGCGCGCGATATGGGCGGCCGCGTGCGTGAACGCGCGCGTAAGAATATAAAAGCAAGAAGACCGGATGACTGCTAACTGTTTGTTAGTCTTGGGTTTTAAAGTCCGCGCGTCTGTCAGTCCAGAGACGTAATATTAGTGCTTAGTGTATGCTGCCGCCGCCACTCCCGCTCATTCACGTTTCCTCTCTCCTTTCTTCCTCCTTTCTCTCTTCCCTGCATCATGAGTCTCGCACGATTAGCTCCTCCTTGTCGATTTTTCTTGGCTTTTTGAACTTTTCAGATCATCATTCTCATCAATTTGAAACTAATAACTTATGTTCTCTCAACATCGTATAACAATTATAAAATTCAAGATTTATTTATTTAATGGCTAAATATTTGGATGACTTATGTTCTATTTTATTACGAAAAAAAAATAATAATGGAAAAATTTATATATATATATATATGTGTATATCTATTATAACCGTAGTGTTTTTTGTGTTTTCACACACAATGAATAAGAAAGGCCAATGCACGGTCACACCGGGATCTTGGTGCTTCAATAATTTTATTATATGATTTTACATACGTATCCTAGCTTCGAAAAGTGCGTTACTTCCGGATTCAACGCAACCTCCCATGATTGAAACAAAATCGTATTATCACGTATTAAATTGCTAATCAATTTAATAAGAATCTGATGCTAACTTGCGTTTAATAAATCCCCTCTCCTCCGCGACATCAAATAAATGCTAGTCTGCATCTATACGAACCGTTCTCGAATTTGTAAAAAAATTTATTGCAAAAAAATATCAACTCATGTTCTCAGTCAGGAATAACGATACGCAGTTTTCGAAGCTAGAATACGATGTAAAATCACATAATAAAATTATTGAAACACCAAAATCCCGGTATGACTGTGCATTGGTCTTTCTTATTCATTGTGAATGGAAGAATTGTTATATATTCTCAACTATACGCACAAGCTTATAACAAGAGATTTCAGTCAGTATTATTTGACGTGTAAAATGAATGAGACACGAGACTTCAGATCAGAATTGGGCATTTCGTAATTAACCGATTACGCGATTACAGATAATGTAACCGTAAAATTGACAGATTACGACTACATTTGAAGTAGTGATTACCAATCAACCGATTACAGATAATGTAACCGTAAAATTGACAGATTACGATTACACTTGAAGTAGTGATTACCAATTATTGTTACAAATGTAATCGTAATCTGTCAATCTTACTAATCAGTTGATTACAAAATGCTCAACTCTTCAGATTCGTATGATAAATTCAGATCACAAAATAAGAACGATAATAAGCGTTACTCATCGATTCGCCTGAACACCTTTCCTGTAATAAAAAGATGCCCCAATAACTCTCATCTAGGTGGACCGCTATAAATAGTTAAAATTACTTGGAGGACCGAACGGAACGAGGGTGTTTTAGCGACCATTCTGGAAAAATAAACGATCGCGACCGCGTAGGGAACAGATGACTCTGCCACGCGGATGCCAACTCCTCGTTGGAGTGACAGCCGCCGTGGCCGACGATTGTTTTTCAGTTTACGTTAACGTTTCGCTTTCGTTCCGATACGGTCGTTGAACGAGCTCCGCCGTTGGTTCGCAAGTCTTTATTGACTGCCGGTTAAATCGGGCTCGAAAGGGGCCTCGTACGGAACTATTTGATTTTATGGGACATCTCCAGTCGCTCTCTTCACGCGACAGGCGACGACGAGCTTGTTAAAAGGGTAACCGCGAGGCTTCCGTTTGAGACGAATGTCGAGACCGGTGACTTTTTGCGCAACGAGACCGACTTGTCCGTATGGATGACGACTGACGGAGTTGGCAGACGGGCGGATGCTGGCTGAGATGTTCACTGACAGAGACTTCATTTCGTAAATGAGCGACACTTCATCCCCGTAATTGGTCGACCTATCTCACGACATGTGTCTCTCAATAAAAATTTCACGACGCTCGTCATCGCGCGATCTCGATATTTCGAACGATTGCTCATTAGCGTAAAAAGAAATATCCGAGTGGCAGAGATCGAGCGAAGGAGGAGAAGACGAGAGGCAACAAAGTATAGCAAGGCTCGAGTAAAGGATGACGACGAAGGGCGGACGCCGGTCTTGTTCGGGGGTAACTGAAATAAGGTATAATTTTCCGCGCCAATTAAGGTCTTTAAGAATTGCGACCAATTGAGCGGGAGGGTCAGAGCCTTAGCTTTAGGGGAGAGATGTACCACCATCCCCCTATAATTTATTATTGATTAGATCGGATCGAGAAAAAGAGGTCTCGGTATGTAGACTTAAGATTGGTCCGAGATCGTCTGTGTAAAACGGAGTGTAACGGGCAAATGGCGGATGGCGTTTTTCCAATTTCCGGCCGGATACTTAAAGGCATAATGGTAGTACTTGATACACGATCTGTCCTTTATTTAAAAAAAAAAAGTTTATTGATTGTAGGCAATTATCAGTATTTGCGAAAATTCGCATGTCATTCGCAATTTAATTGTTTAGATTTTTTTCTTGCGTTCCGTGCTATAATCGAACAGAAAAATAACTGCCAATTTTATATCAAAATAGATGTAGAAGATGATACATATCTCATAATATATATCTCGGATAATTAAATATATATACCTTAATTAATTGACGACTTAATACAGAAAAAGCCATTTTCAATAAAAAAAAATTAAATCATCTTTTTGTCAAAAACATTTCCAATTTGTGCAATTAAAGTAGAAATCTGTCAGTGTAATATAATTAATTTTTTTTAAGAGTGTATTATAATTTATTAAGATTTTAATTATTTTTATAGGCAAGGAATGAATTTGCTATTGATGTATACGTATCTTTCCGACAAGAATGCGATCGATGCACTACGCAACGATGAGTAGAAAGAGAGAGGGTAGAGAGAGCGAAAGTATTTTCTCATCGATATCTCGAGCGCGCGAGGTCATCATCGGATCAACTCAGGCGTAGTCCACGTTCCTGTGGTTCACACTTAATTAAACCGCCATAGGAACTCGGGTGACAGCACGTGGCGGACAATGCCGCGAGTCTTTAGCGGCGATTGTTATGTAAAGCACACCCTATATATGCACCGCGCAGTTTCTCTCGTATCGTATCGAGACGAGAAGTACGTAGGCACCGTGCCTTACCGTTCCGCTTGTACCTACGTACAAAGAGAACGGAGTAACTTTTCGAAATTATCAGCTGCAATTCCACTAACTTCGATCATTTTTCGTTAACTACGCGATATGGCCTTTCGAAACATAAATCCCACACGGAAAGAACGATTTTGCTGGAAGACCAAAAAAAAACCTGAAAATAATTTTTGTTAGGTCATCATCAAAATAATTTTGTTCGAAAGTCAAAATGATTGCTAA